TCAACTCCCAGAATCTGGCTGGGGGATTCTGGGAGTTGAAGTCCACACATCTTAAAGTTCCCAAGGCTGAGAAACACTGCTCTACAATTATAAATGCCAACAGCTATTTCTGTGGCTTGGGCTCAACGGCATCAGACTTTAGTTGCAGGGACGTGATTTCTATTCACTTTCCCCCTTTGTGCATTTGTCACAGACCATGATCTGCCCGGCATCCGATTTGCAAGAAAGGTGTGGGATTTGCTACGTGTAGCTCAACTCAGGGTCAGTGCAGCCCGCCGACTTCCTTCTCGGCAGCCCCCGGCCTCGCCTGGTAACCCGTTCCCACTGGCTTAGGAGGTTCAGCAGTCAGCCTGTGTCGCCTTTATGTCTTCCCTCCCGCTCTGACTGCCTGCAGGGTGAAAGCCTAAACTGTAACTTCCGTGGGGAGGAAGACGTGTCTCTCGCTCGGTTCAGTCAGGCTTGGGTCAGAGGCCTCCTTGCCAACCCTGCAGAGGTGCAAATCTTGCTGACCCGTAGGTGAAATTCAGCGTGCTTTTGGGAGAAGACAAGACGGCGCGTATTACAGACAAGGGCCTGCCATCAGCTGCTTTCGCATTCACTTGGCTTGAAATTTACCTGCCACGTACGTGGTGGCTTTGTCAGTAGGTTGGATTTGGACCCAAAGGCTATAGCCAGGGCCCCTCAGAGAATGGCAGTCTTTGTTGTCTTTGGGCAGGAAGGACTGACCGTCGCCTTTGTCCCTCCAAACCAGTATTTCTATCCTTCCTTCTTTCCTGTTTTTGTTGTATATCTATCAGTCAGTCCATCAGACAAACATGGGCCTGCACATCCCTGGCCCACAGCTGTTCAAATGTAAACTGTAGTTGAGAAAAGTGGTTTGAGTCCCGCAGAAGGTCCAGATCTTCCAGAGTGAAGGGCATGGAATAATGGATTTCAGTTACAGGAAGGCAGATTGTGATTAAACGTTAGGGGGGGAAACATGCTCATTGTGGGAGCGGTCTGAGAGTGGAACCGGCGATGCGGAGAGTCCGCTGGGGGGCTTAAGCTGTAATTTGGATTCCTGGACCGAGCAGGAGTCCCCTTCCACCTCTCCATAGGGCCAGAGTGATGCTGCAGGCCACAAGTGCGCGCAACCTGGCTGGGATGAAGCCAGAAATTCCCACCGTTCTCGCAAGCTGCTGCCAGAGCAGGATGTCTCTGTGTGGCAGCCTCAGACAAATCCTCCTTTTGATGGGTTGCCTTTCTTAAGCTTCCCGAAATACAGCTAGAGTTTGAGCCGGGTTCTCACTGCTCTGCCACTCCCCTCGTGACCAGTCAGTTTCGAAATGGACCTCTGGCCCGCTTGGGAAAGCTCAGGCTCTGGGGGCAGGATGATGGCACAGCGGAAGAAATGGAGGGTGGACAGCCGCCCCTCCCTCTCAGCACGTCTTTGGGGGTGGGAGTTCTCGACGGGGAGTCGCTTCCAAGATCCAAGGGAACCCCTCTGAATGTCTGGCAGCGCCTGAAAACCCAGAGTTGCCTCTGATGTTGGGAGGCCCCCTCCGTTCTTCCTTCAAGACCCAGTGATGGAGGGACCCCCCCCCTCATTCCCCACCCCTGCCCGGAACTTCCTGCTGGATTTTCCTCTGCTCTTCAGGGAGCAAAGGGAGTATTTTGCTCTTCCTTTTTATGGTGTAACTGGCTGGCCAGCCGGCCACGATCTTACCAAAGTGGTAAAATTAGCCACCCCGACAGGTGGACGGGATCAAATGTCTCAAGGAATGAGATTGCCCCCTTGCACCATTAAGCCTCCTGCTCCTCCTCCTCACCTCAGCTGACGTGCATGAGGCTTACGGTAACCGAATCCCCATGTTTTGTTGGGCACTGCCCAAGAGGCCGGCACGGATCATGAGCGCATAGTTCTTCCCATCATGCAATTGGGCACCTTGTTGGGAGTGGCGGGGCAGTGCTTTGCTTCTGGCTAGAATCAAAGAAGAAAAGTTGCCCCCCCCTTCGATGTGACCCAGGCCCCCCCGATTGACGTCTTTGCGCAGGAGGGGAAGAATGGCATGGACAAGGAGGGCGGGCATTGTTGCCATTAGCCGGGGCCAAGCCAAGCTAAGAAGTCATTAGAAACCTCCGGGCAGGACGTAGCCCTGGAATGAGTTACGCGCCAAGCTGGTTTTCTTTTCTGTATAGCAAAGACGCTGGTAAACAGATCCTACTTTGCGTATTAGCCAGGCAGCGTTACATATTTTCTGTGTAGGAGTGCCAGGGTTTTTTTTCAAACCCCCCACCGCAAAGGAGGGGTGATGGTGGCCAGAGCAGAGGAGCAAAGATTAGAGCAGGTTGAAGAGGGAGAAAAGCCCTCGGCACTCAGGGCCAAGGTGGCATCTTCACTTTCTAAAGAGGGGCTGGAAAAGAGGAGGGGCACCCTGTAAATGCTCAGGCCTGGAGTGGGGCCTCTGTATTTTTAGTCTGCCTCGCATGGAGGGCCTCTCCAGACACACTTTTGGGCCACTCCTGTATCGGCTCCAGACCAGCCTGTCCCATGACGTCAGTTCAGTGGAGGAATTGAGTTGTCCTTGCCATTAAGATACCACAGCTTCTACCTCCATACATATGTACACACATACCCAGGATCCCAAAATTGCTTTTAAATACCTGCAGCAGAATAGCAGCGATCCAAGCCTCCCCCACCCCTCCTTTGGCTACTCAAAATTTTATGCTACTGAATCAAAGGTTAGGTTTATATATCACACTGCCATAATGTAGTTTGTTTGGCTTTGCCCAGCTGTTGTGGTTCTTGAGCCCTGGTTGATGTTGTGTGAGTGTAGCCCGTGATGGATTAGTCAGTAACCCCAGAGGACGCCTCCTCAGGATACGTAAGAACTCTGATGGATAAACCAGAAGCAAAAGGAGACACTTCAAAGGAGGCCTTCCCATTCCACCGTGTCTGAAAGTGGACCGCATATGCGTAAATTTAGCTCCACACATTTTGATGTAATGTCTTCCCATATTTCCCGGAGAGGACTGTGACCATAATCCTATCTCCTTTTTGTCCATTTTTGGTCATGTTTCAGCAGCAAACAGCGGCACATTCAGTACATCCTAATTCCCTCAGGTAATCCAGGCAACAGCCAGCTTCTAACAATGAATGGTACTTCCCCTGAAATGAAAGCTCCTTTAGCCAGATGCCTCTGCTGGACACCTTTGGGCCTGGCCTTGGTTCTGGTGGCTCCCCTCCCAGCCCGCCCTGGCAGTAGACCAGCTGGAGCTGAGGCCTCCTGAGCGCAACCCATCCTCCAGCATTCCCACCACACTGAGGCTCTCCTTTGGTCTTGAGGCAGAGCTGGTGGATGGCCACAGCATGGAGGGAGTGGGGAGGGAAAAGATAAAATCCATGGCTGGTAAGAGAATGAGGCCAGACTTAGAGGAATGGAAGAAAGGGAGAGGACGACCCTCCCCAGGGAAGCCCTAGTGCTCCTGCCAGGTAGGATCATCCATTGGCATTTGAGAGAATTCGGCTGATAGCTCTTCCTTCTTCATCCCCTTCACCCTGCAAACTCCTTGTTCCTAGAGCAGTTTCCTCTATTTCATTCCACAACCATGTCCCTCCTTGTCTTATAGTAAGGAAGTCAACTTTGGACATCAGGAGATGCCTCAGAGCTGACCCTGCCTCAGATGCCTCCAGAGCTCTAGACTCCTCAACCTGCATTTCCCCACTTCGGAGTCCTGAGCAGACCCCAGATTAATGTGCTAGTGCTAAGGACAGAATATTGCCAAGGTATTTGCAATCGCAAAGTGATGATGACCCATGGGATTATTGACACCCTCTTGATTGGCTTTCTTGCCAGTCTCCTTCAAGGGAAGCAGCAGAGAGAAGTTTTGGCTGCAGTCATCTGGGGTTGGAGCAGTTCACTCACTCCAGATCAGTGGCTGAAATATCAGCCTTAAAAAAAAGAGGGTGGAGGGGGAAATGCCATCATAAGGTTCTATATACAGCCCATGCAATTACTGAACAGGGCTTGTCCAGCTCAAGCACTTATATCAACACCAGGCATGCAGTGATCGCAGTGGCTAAGTTAGCTTCAACCTTCTGCACCTCTGTCCTCCATAGAAGTTGGACTACAGTCCCCATAACTCCTAGTCAGTCAACCCCTTGCTTCACTAGTTTCTGAGATGCATTTTCTTTCTGGAGGCTTTAGTGCTCAATGTTCATCATTTTCCCTTCAAAATAGAAACAGGCCATGCTATGACATCAGAACCAATAGGTGGGCATGATGGTACTCTGGTTTTCTAGGGAGGAGATTGAGAATTGTTTAATAATGATATGCAAACATATCAGTTTCATTCTCAGATCATTCTTTTACCAGTTCAGTCAGTGGGTGAATGCTTCTGGGAAACCTTTCCATGACATTCGCTGCAGGCTACCTTGGCATTTTAAATATGTGGATTCAGCTTGAGTTTGGCACATGCTGAACCATCAAAATTACACACACACACACACACACACACACACAGAGGCACTTATATGTCTTGCATTGTCCATGTCAACATGGACTGGTTGGATGTGCAATTCGACTCCTAGTTCATTGGAAGCCACATTGTTAATTGCCTTTGTGTTTCCAGCCCATAAAAGGTTAGCTGATAATGTTTGTTGGCTGTAACATAGATGCTGGACCCTGTCCCCGTTTAGTTTCAGAGCTACTGCAGGCTGGCTGGGGGCCAGCTTTGGGAAGCTACCGCAGATACTTGAGCATGTCCATAGATGCCTGAGCTCATTCTTTGGAGAAGCTCCAGAAGGACCTCCTTGCCTTTCTCCATAGGTTGATTCATGGTGGACCTTCTTGGCTTTCTTTTCAGTGCAAGAAGAAACACACGCTGGTGTGTCCAGACTTCTCGAAGCATGGCGTCTGCCCCAAGGGCTCCCAGTGCAAACTGCAGCATCCCCAGAAGAAACGCCTGGCCAAGCAACCCAGCATCAGAGATTCCTGCCCACCTGAGGACTCAGCACCTGAGCGGGGAAACTATGCAAACCAGACTTCAAGGTAAGGAGGCTCAAGTTCCTCAGGAGCTGCCATCCCTCTGTCTGCTCCCTCACGGTAAGCCTGGACCCATCAGAGGAATGGGTCTCTTTCCCTTGACTGGGCTGACATCACTGCTGTTCTTCTTTGCCTTGGCCCTGCAGACCTGGCGGGAGCCTTGAAAAGGGAAGGTGTCTGAGAGGTGGCCTAGAGTTCGTGCAGAGTGTTTCCCCAAACCAAGGCAGTCGGGGCCCCTGCTGCTGCTTTGCCTAGACAAGCTCTTTCCTTGGGACATTTTGCTCTTGAGAAGCAAGTCCTCGTAGCCAGCGGGGAGACCAGTGTCTGTAGGAAGGCCCACGAAAGGGCGTGCGGCAGTCGTGGAATGGGGTGGATTTAGAAGCAAGGTGTCCTGGATCCACAACCCTCATTTTTCAGCCATTCTGGGTAACAGAAACTGGCCCAGCGAAGGATGGGGCCATCTTCTGATAATCTCCTGCTGGCTCCCCCATAGCAAGAGAGCAAATCAGATTGTTGGCGAATTCTGGCCCACGTTTCCCTAGGCCTGTTGTGCTCTTGCTTTATTCCCGAGGGGAGACTCTGATTGTATTCCAGCCCTGCTAGCCGCCAAGAGATTACTGCTTCCACAGCGCGAGCCTGTGTGCAGAAGGAACTCCGTTTCTCCCACAGCTGATCTGTCTGTTGTCAGAGCCTGGGGCATTTCCGAGCCTTAGATCCTACGTGTCGAAAGTGATCTATAAATCTTCCTGGCCTAAGAAGAGAAGGGATGATGTCTCCTGCCAGAGAGCAGAGGAGGCCCCCTTAGTCACATCGCTCTGCCTCATAGCCTTTGGAATTGGGCCATGGAAGCGCAGGGCTCTGCTGAGAGGCCGGAAATCAACCAGGAACGCACCGCGCACGCGGAAGAGTCCTGCAGCCCCCTGCACTCAGCAAGGGTGTGCCAGGCGACCAAGCTCCTGTGGGCTGAATTAGAACCACCGTTGTGGAAAGGACTGAGCTGCACTGACAAAAGCCGCATGAAAAAGTATTAGGCCTATGCCCTGTTTAAACAAGGCAGATTAAGAAAATATTGTACTTTCTTTGCTTTTTTTTGAAATGATGCAAGGTGGAAAAAGACATGCATCGATCAGTGGAATTCTGTCGACCCTGGAATCCTCAAGACCTTCTCCTGTCTAGAGGCTGGGAAAGAATCACCCGCTTGCTTTCAAGCGTGCATCTGTGGCCCTAAAGGCTGAAAAATGCTTCTTTAAAGAAAAAGAACCCTGAGATTCTTAGGAAACTGAGTTGTGTGTCCAGTTGCCGATTCTTTTTTGCATTGATTTGGTGTTTACCTGCCAGGCTTGTGGCCACAACTTGGAATGCCAAAACATTTCTGGGCGACAGCTTCACTCTGCAGTTGGAGCTGAAGCCGGAACGTCTATTTCTCCCTGCAGCTGCTCCGTATCAGAAAGAGAGGTTCATAGGAGGGATGGGGGAAAAGGTGGGGAGTTAAGGTGTTTGATTCCCACTGCCACCTCCTGGGGATGTGTATGGGTGTGGGTTACACCCATACACACGCGCTCGCTCAGAAATCTAGCATTTGCAGGACAGGTCTTCCCTGAAACACACTCTGCTCCTTGATATTCCAGTCCCCAGTATTTCCATCTGGTGCTGCTCTCGCGAAGGTAGTGCCTACTTTGAATCATCATCACCACCATCATCTAATATGATAATCAATCAAGATAGAAGATATATTTATCTGATTTAACCTGAAGATTAAGCCGTGTAGTTTAGACTGCTGTATCTAGTTTTTTTTCTGCAGCCTGCAGCCCAGAACTTGGCTCTATCCAATCTCCGTCCCGCAAGGAAAATGCTTTGACCCAGCAGGCCAATGAACTAGGAGAGGAGCAGTAAGGTCCCCATGAGAATCCAGGGCAGAAGAACGTGGTAACAACGCAGGGGTACTCGCTAGCTCTGCTGCCCTGCATGGGCACCATCAGTGGGATCCGCCCTCAAGGAAGGCTGACCGATGGGTTCTCCAGCAGGCCGTCGCGAGAGCTTTCCTCTAATTAGGGAGGGTCACCTGTGTGGTGCCTGTTCCTTGCACCTTCAGAAGTGTCACACTTGCATCACTTGATTCTTTCTGAAAATCAGTATCCTGGACCCACCAGTGAAGCTTGGTGGAACCCTTTACAATCATAGACTCGGGGGCAAAACCGTAAGCTCAAAGTGTACTTTTCCAGACCCTCTTCCAGAAGTCTGAAAACCCTCCGGTAGAATTACAGGCACCAACCCCACTGGAAATTACTTTTCCCTTGCCCCAGCTGAGCATAAAATCCTGCCTTGGAGATGCTCCTCAGGCTTGCTCGCAAAGTTCTGAGAAAGCTGGTCTGGATGTTCTCGACAGGTCCTCATCTTTATAAGTGCGTAAAACAGTCCAGCCACAACATCCCATCTTCAGGAGCCAAGGGTGAGGGCTGACTGCCAGATTCATGAACCAATGTGGCAACCTCCCACTAGCACCCTCTGGGTGTCGGGAGTTCCTCAGGCCACAGCTCAGAGACACTTCTGTACAGGAATCAAGGAACGCAACAGACATTCAGGAGGCACTGAGTGAGATGCAGGAAGACCTGGCACTAGTGGCTGCATCTCAGGGGCTTTGCTATGAAGACACATCAGGCCAAAGCTGTCAGCCTCCAGGCAGCATCGGGGTAAAATGATGGAGCTGAGCCCTACCAAGTTGGCTCTCCCGTGTGTCCTCGGAGCCCTCCAGTGTCACAGGACTGCAGGCTCCTTCCTCAGACAGAGAAAGGAGGCAAGAGGGGGCAGAAGGAACTCAATACCTCCTTCAAGTGAATCAGTCAGTTGGTTCAAAGGCAGATGAAGAATTTTCCAAAAATTCACCTATCAGTAAATACTGTTTGTTTTAACTTCCTCTGAATTATCAGCCAAGGTTCACTGACCCAGACTTATGGTTCTTTAGTTATTATGACCATAATTTAGACTCCTTCATCTACAGAGTTTGGCAGTTTACAATTAAAATCAGCCAAGATAAAATCATTCCAGCAGGCAGTGGGGCTAGCCCAGCCTTGCTTGGTGTGGCACTCTTTTAAGGTCTTGGAGGGTCGCAGATGAGCAACGCCGGTCCAGATGGTGCCGATCGGTGGCCGTAGTGCCTGTGCCCACCTTCCACCCAGTTCTGCAAATGATCCACCTCTGCCTTAACTGCAGACTCCAGCAGGTGGATTTGTCTGGACCTGAGGTAGAAGAGGCTTGCTTCCTGACCTCATCACCAGGGCGGGACCCACCTATGGCGGAGTTGCAGGCCCCTGAAGGGTATTATGCATTTTAAACACAGGGAATGCCATGGATGGGGCAGGGATGTACATCCCATTAAAAGCTAGTGTCCGAGTGGACAGCAGGACTTGGGGGCTTGGGTTAGCGTCCTTGGCCAGCGGAAGGAGACGCAGGTCAGCTCTTGTCCCTCCCATGGAGGTGGGGGGGGAACCTGATTGTGGGAAGCTGGAAAGGAGCTTGAACATCCTCCCGACCGCTCTCTCTCTCTCTGCCTCTCTGCCTCTATATTGGTCCCCAGAGAGGCTCTGCAGGCCCCCAGCCATCCTTGTATGGCAGTGCCCGGAGAAGCACAGCAAATACCATTGCAGAGTTATTCAGGGTGACTGAATAAACTTGGTATGGCCCCTCACTTGCTTCCCCTGTGTCAATGAGGCAGAAAATACCTCCTTGCTCTTTTTAGGTAAGAATGTCCTGGGGGGGAGAGGAATCCAGCAGGGCAAGGGAGATGAGCTGGCTCGGGGCCCGCGTTCCAGTCCCATTTTCAGGGAGACGGGATTGGGGGTTAGGTGAGAAGGGCTCTTAAATAGCACATCTTCCCTCTGTCTTGATTAGAGCTGCCAGTGCAGACGTCAAGCATGATAAAGCATCACATTAACTGGATTGCTCGGGCGGGGGGGGATCCTGGCATCTTGGAGTGGGCAGAGCTTGTGAGCTGAGGCCAGGTGGCCAGAGCAGCAGCGGTCAGGGGCTTAGCTGAAACCAGAGCTGACCCAGCCTCTGGTGCAAGAGTCAGGACTCTGTCTGGCTTCATGCAAATGACCCGACCTGGCATGGATGGGACTAAGGCGATCTTTAATTGTCTGTTCGTGTGTGCACGCGTACGTGTGTGCGCGCAGAGAGAGAGCAGCTTGGAGGCTAAGGTACAGAGGGGAGCTTTCAGGTCAGGAAAATGAAAGAATAAAGTCTTTCGCCTTTCAGGCAGAGCACTGAAATTGTTCCAGCAACTAAACTACAGTACAGACTCCAAGCGGCTTGGAACATAATTTATTATAGCCGAAGGCCAGAAGGAGAAAATACTACTAAAGACAATGAAATAAAACAAAACATTGAATAACATGAAGGTGGCCAGCAAGTAAACAGAGTTATAACTGAGGGAGACCTCGGATCAATTGGTGGCTTACTTTCACTGCCGCTGTGCAATATTTTGCTACAACCTGAATTACAGTTTGAAATCTGAAAAAAAAGTGCTATCATATAAAAGCATTCGGGGGAATGCTTTTCCCAGGGTGGCGGTTAGTCCCCTCCTCCAGGATCCAGGGGAGCACATCTCTTTCTCCAGATGATGATGATGAAAATAATTAAATAAAGTTATATGACCACCCAGTCAGTGTGTGGCTCAGGCCCCATACCCAGGTAAAAACGACACGTAAGAGCAAAGAAAGAAAACACCCATAAAAACCATGAAACCTCTTGCGCATCAGGCAACTTCTTCTAGCCACAGCCTTCGAAATCCAGCCGGGCACAAGGCGTCCCCACCCAGCGCCTGGAGCAAAGCCGGCCCCTGAAAGCCTTCCAGACGGCGGAGGGTGGGGGCCGTTGGGACGTGGGGGGAAGGCTGCTCCATAGGGCAGGGGCCGTGACGGGTCCTGGCAGAGGACCTTGCTCAAGTGACTTGGACCCAGAGCACGCCCAGCCAGATCTTGCCGGACAAGCAGAAGTCATTGGAGGCAGGTGGTCCCACCAGTAGCCGGGTCTGTGCCATGCAGGGCTTTGGGGGCCACAGCCAGCCCCTTAATCACCCCTGGAAGCGTGCTGGCAACCAGGGCAGCAGTCTGGGGGCACCAGTGTTCGTGGGTGCCCTGAACTACTGGTGCCACTGCTTCCCGGGCCCACTGTAGTTGCCAAGTGCTCTCCAAGGGCAGGCCCATGTGGAGCACATTATGGTAATCCAAATGAGGGATAACAAGGCTTAAGTGAGCACAATCTCTATTATTATTATGGTTGGTTGCACCGCCAGCCAGATGTTTAGACTGGGTTTGGCGTTTTTACCCACCTGTCGAGTCCTTCCCAAGGACCTGGGATAGGCAGATGTTGCTGTTATTATTATTCTGTTTATTAGGTTTATTATTTTGTACAATTCAAGGTGGCGTATCTAATGCCCCCACCTCATATTTTCCCCACAGCAACAACCCTATAAGGAGGGTTGGGCTGAGGTGAAGCGACTGGCCCCAAGTCGCCCAGGCAGCTTTCGTGCCTAAGGGAGGACTCGAACACGCAGCCTCTCGGTTTCTAGTCCAGCGTCTTTAACTGCTGCAGCCAACTGCCCCCCTGGACCAGGAACGGGCACAACTGGCTCCCAAGATGGGTTTGTGCAAAGGACCGCTTAACCACGGTTGTCACCTGCTCTTCAAGCAGAAGTTGTGAGTCCTGGAGGACCCCCAAATTGTGCACCCGAAGTGCAACCCGCTCCAGAACCCAAGATGGAAGTTTTCTGGATCCAGGCCTCAGTCTTCTTTGGGTTCAGCTGGGGGCTGCTTCCCCCCCTCCAGATCCTCACAGCCCCCAGACCCCATAAGTGTATATAACGAATGAGCTGATGATATTTAACCTTACACAGGAGTAGAAAAGAGAACTGCACCCCAAGGGACCCCTCAAAGTTGGGACCAAGGGCTGATGCCGATAGGCAGGATGCACGGCGCTTCTTCCTGCCCACGCAGCAGCACTCTATTGCAACGGTTTCTTTTCACTTGGGTTTTGATTTTAACTCTGTTCATTTTGTCATGCTTTTCCCTGTGAAATTTCTATTGTTGTAACCCTCCTGGAGGGTTGGAACAAACAGGAAGGTGGGATATAAATTCAATAATATGTTTTAAATGTACAAAACAGGACCAGGGATGGGTCGGAAGCCCGAGCCTTTACAGAAGGCTGCAAAGTGCTTTGCTCCTCGGAAGCAAATTCTCACGACTCACGAGTGACCTGCTGAACCTCTGCTCAGAGCCAAGGCCAGGAACCGTTGCGGGGTCCGGTGGGTCACTCGACAGCTCACCGGAGGACCTGCTCTTTCTTTGTTCTCTTACAGGAGGAAGGAGCAAGAGAGGGGGGAGGAGGAAGGAGCCCCCGCAGAAGCCCCCTGGCACCCCAGGAGCCTCTCTCACACCAGCCGACTGACCAAGCAGCCCTCCTTCATCTCCCTCCAGTCACCCCCCACCTCCCCCCACGAGGAGGAAGGCCCCAAGTCAGAGAGGAACGGGGAAGAAGCAGGTATGCCGTGGGTGAAGTGCCCGTTCCGCTCGGGGAGAGCTGCCGTAGAGAAGAAGCAGCAGCAGTTTGGTGTTAAAAGGTCTTTAATTCTCCAGACTTCGCTAGATCCCACCTCCTTGACAAGAGTTGTCATGAAAGTCATTTCAGGAAAGTGATTTGTTGAGGGTTGAAATGGAAGGAAATGTGGGGAAGTGGAGGGAGGAATAATTTCCAATAGATTATTTTTCCAGCACATGAAGGAAATGATGTTGGCAGCCCTAATGCGTCTTATGTTTGGAAGGTGGAGGAGAAAAAAAAACTCGTGCATAAGCAAAGGGTCGTTGTTTTCTCCTGGGGAGAAATGCCTTCTCAGTCTGTCCAGGAAGAATCCTGGAAGAATCCTGTCCAAGAAGAAAGCTAGCGCAATCCCTCAATAACTGCTTTGTAACACAGATTTCATTGCGAAGAAGATTCCAAGGAGTGAAGTGTACAAATCTAATTTGACTAGGAGAATGACAGCGTGGGAGCGGGTGGAATTGGAGTTGCGTCTTCTTTTTACAAGAAGGAAAGCTGAGAAATTAAAGAAATAAGGAAGATAAGAAATCCCCCTTCTCTCCCCCCCCCTTCCCTGATCTTGGTCCTCTCTCTGAATTGGACAGTTTCAAGCCAGTCGCTGTTCCATGATTTCGCCCCATGCTCCTCTGCCCCACTTTGGCCAAGGAAGTGTAGAGTAATTCCCCCCTTGAGCTCCTGGGGTAATGATGGGCTCTAAACCAAGAAGAAGAGAAAGAAACCTGGTTTGTTGCCACTGGCTACGGGTAGTTTTTGCAAGGGGCTCCAGGTAATGGTGGCTTCCCTGCGTAACACTGCTTGTGTTCCCCCTGCTTCTCCCATCTTTTTTCTACTTCCCACCAAACAGCAGGTAGAGTCTCTTCTTTATTTTGTACAAAGGGAGAGAAGGATTTTTCCCACGAAAGACTCCTTGGATGTTTTTTTTTAATTGGCAGTGCCAAGGGCCTGAACCTTCTGCATGCCCTGTTTTTTTCCCCAGGGATGAGATGGGGTTGGGCAGAACTAGGAGTACAAGCAAAGGACGGTTGGATTTCAGGAAAACTTTGTCTGAATGCTGATCCCTGAGGGAGAGGAACAATTCCAACACTGGTTTTCAGAGGCTCCATTCACTCAACACTTGGTTGTAGAACTCATTCATTTGCTGGATTCCCTCAACACATTAAATCCAGATGGCAACATGCCATTTCCTCTCCCACCCCATAAAACCATTCCCAAACCCCAACTTACTAACCAAGGTTAGCATTTTATGCAAAAGCGGTTATTAGGTCTTTGACTGACTTGGTTAAGAGAATTGTTGGATGGGATCTGAACTCCAGAAAAATGCCCAGTGCCTGAAAGCTCTCGCTCTAGGCATGGAAGCTACAATGTGCCCTTCCTTCCCACGGGACCTCAGTCTAGAGGTTGCGTGCTGATTCCTTTGGGATGCCTGTCCCTGTGCCAAAGAGTGGCCTTTGTGTACAGTGGTCACCTGCCGTTCGATCCCACATGCATGGGCCATTTTCTAACCTGGCAGAGAATGAGGGAAGTTCAACACATCTGGAAGACACGTGTATGGATGTTCATAGGATCATAGGGAGGGAGCTTGGAGGACATCTAGTCCAACCCTCTGCCCAGGACAGGAATCCTCAGATGGCTGTCCAACCTTTGTTTGAAAATTTCCAGCGAGGGAGCCCCCATGACTCCAGGAGGCAGGCTGTTCCAGTGCTTCATAGCTTTCACTGCTGGCTCATGCTTAATCTGTGGTCTACCAGGATACCCAGATCCTTCTCACAAGTACTATTGCTAAGCCAGGTGCCACCTATCTTGTACTTGCGCATCTGGTTTTTCCTACCCCAATGCAGAACCTTATGTTTCTCACCTCTGAACATCATTTTGCTGGACAGAGCCCAATGTTCAAACTCATCAATATCCTTTTGAACCTTGAGCCCATCTTCTGGGTTGTTTGCAGTCGTCCCCCCCCCCCCCCAGCTTTGTATCACCTGCTGATCCACAGAGCATCCCTTCTCTCCTCTAAGTCATTTATGAAGATGTTGATGAGCACTGAGCCCAGGAGAGAACCCAGAAGTGCCCCACTGTACATCTCCCTCCACGTGGACAAAGACCCATTAAAGACCACACGTTGGGTATGGCTGTTCAACCAACAGCAGATCCATCTGGTAGTGGGACCACCCATCCCACCTTGTTCCAGTGTATCAAGAAGGAAGTTGCTCTTATGGAAAACGCTTACTGGTCTAGAGGTCTTCATTGCTGGCAGAACATCCTCCCTTCCCACATCTTTGTGGTGGGTCTGGCCATATGTACCCATCCCCCATTTTTTTTGCCAGAGGGATCCAGTCCTTTAATTTCTGGTGTTCCGATTGGCCATCCCAAGTGGAGACGCAAAGCCTCCTGTTGCTTTGGTAATCATCCGCAGGTAATGCACCTTTCCATATTTCACCTTCCAGTTAAATAGCTTGCGCCAAAGTGAACGGTTCTCCCCACACTAATTGTAACTGAGTGCACCAACGCAGGCCCTTCCAATCGAGTGCTAATTTAATTAGAAAGCACCCATTTTAGTTAATTTGTTCAAGAAGATCACTGCAGGCTCCTGGAGAGAGCAGATGTTCCCCTCTCCCCCAGTGAACATTCTGGGGTTTGTAAATGACTCCACTCAGCCTTGTTTAGGAGAGAAAAGAGGATTTTATGGCAGCAAACGACCCTTTCTGTAAACATTTTACAGCTCTCTGCACGTTTGAGTGAGGATAAACCCCTGGCAACTCGGCGGGCTGCAAATTTGCGACCATACGGCTATCATTTTATTGTCATATTTCACGGTCGTAACGTTAATGGAAGATGCTTGCTCCAGTCTTTTTAACGGCTCCGCTGAGCACGCTCAAAAGACTCTCGCTTTGGAAAATGCACTGAGGCACAGCGCTTCCGTTTTTGTTTACCGCTTCTGTTCCGGCGGGAAGAGCATGGCCCGCAGACCTTCTCGCCCTTCCCTGCCGCGGGGCTGCCCTGCCTGGCCTCGAACGGCTCTCTGGCCCACCTGGGGCTCCTCTGTGGGCCGCTGGGGTGCCCAGGCAGCGGCTCCGCTGGTCTGAGGGTGCTTGGGGCAACTGAGCTGCGCCACGTCCTCTGTGCCAAAGCTGGAAGGGTGGCGCGGGAAAAGCTCGGCCGAGCTGGGACCTGGCCCGCAGCTGCTGCCGGCCTCCAAGAGCGAGGAAGGAGGGACAGGGAAGCGCTGGGGGAGGAGAAGGAGTGGGGAGTTGTCCTCTGATTTCGAGAAGGCACTTTTGGAAGGCAGGAGCAGTGGTGGGGATGGGAGGGAGAGTAGCACTTACTCAGCTGTAGTCTGGCCCATTTGGGATTGGAGACTCCAGCAGAGATGGTCTGCCGGCCCTGTCTGTTCCGGTCGCTATCCGGGGTGTGTAATTTTGGCCAAGTTTATCTGAAAGCCTACCCTCCAGACAGTGTGAATTCTGGATCCGAATGTGCCACCTGCAGGGAAGGCTCAGGGCTGTAGGTGTACAAAGAAAAAAACAGTCTGAGTGAACAAGGCTATTTTTGCATTGATAATGATTGTGCAATTTATTTCCCGGGCAAAATTTGCAGTGGCCTGTTGTGTCCCTTGTACTGTGGTGGGGGGGGCAGACATTTGGGGGAGTCTCAGTGGGTTTCTTCCAGGCTCCTGGGACTTAGGTCTGCTGAGGATCGGAGTCAAAAAAGCAGAGCGATGGGAGGAATGAGCAGAAGGCCTTGGGGCAGGGGGTGGAAAGTCATCAAGAGTTGTTCTTACTCTAGCATGTCCCCTCCACCCCCCCCCCAATTTATCACAAAGGGGCTTGCAGGCACTAATGTGGGGTGCCCCGTTTCCACCCCCAACTCAGTACCACAAGATAAAGTTGTTAGGATGGGGGTGGGGGGCAATCTGGAGTTGTCTCCAAAGGTCCTTGATGTTTCTTTTCCTCCACTTCCTCTGTTGGGCTGGATGGTTCTGGGCGCTGGTGAGGCAGGAAGAGGCCCCGGTGAACTGCGTGTTGTCTTCGGTCTCTCCCTCTCGCTTACCCGCCCAGCACAGCCTGACTCCCTTGATAGCCCAATTTCACACCATGGCACAGTCCTCTGTTGAGTGTCTCATCTGGCATATGCCGGCAAATCCATGTTCCATCAGGCATACAGAACAAGTTAATTAAAAAGCATCACAAACTACTTTCATAATTGAGTTAACAAACCTCTAATATAATTGCTTCCCTAATGCAGAGCCCATCAAGCTTCCGTTCCTGCACGCGCATCATTTGGAGGGGAGCGCATCCGTATCCCTGTCCACCAGCTCAACAGCTTCCTTCTGCTCTGTCACTCCCAGCCCAAATTCTGCTTCGAGGAAATACAGATTCTGTACTTTAAAAGCAGCAGATAGATTGGTATGGTGTGCGGGAGGGTTTCTCAGTCAGGGAAAAAACATTTGGCAAAGAAGGAAGAGGGGCTCATAGTTTATGGAGTAGGAAGGAGGGGACCATGGTGAATTTTGCGGAGGGAGCCAGCAAGTGCAGTTCAGTTGCTTCCAAGAATAATGAGGCCTTGCACCTGATTTTAAAAAGGTAAGAAAAGCAAAAGGGTGAAAAAAACACCCTTGGTCCACGGTAGCCTGCCCCCCCCCCTCGCTTTATTTATTTGACTTTATTTCTGGATCCCACCCTTCCACTTGTTTTTGTATCCAGGACCAAATACATCAGGTCTTGGGTCTCTTCTGGGAAGTCCGTTTTGTCTGGGGTTCCCCAAGTCTGTCTTCTGGTCAGATCCCGGAACTCCACAGGCTGGGAGCCGAGCGCTGTATGTGGGAAGGAAAAACCAAGGAAGTGGGTTTATCCAGGGTGGCTCCTATGTAGGGAGAAGGCCGCACAAGGGCAGCGTAAGCAGGCAAGGGAAAGCCCTGCCTTGGGGTTTAAGCCAGCCCTGTGGTTTTCATG